TAATTCCGTTGGTAGAATTAAACCAAAAAATTTATAAGTGAATGCTTTTGAGGTTTCCATTTAATTTCTGCACAGAAGTTATGCGTTTCGCGAGTTATCTCTGTATCTACATCCATTATTATACGTAAAGTATAACCAAACATTTTTCGTACATGTGAATATTGCAGTTCACTTCATCAAGTTATACTGTCGAAGTATTACGTACAATATAAACTTAGTTTCCGCGGTTCTTTTGCTTAAAAAAAAAAAAAAAAAAAAAAACTCATTTATCTCGATATAAAAAGCAAAAAATACGTCAATCAAAGTATTTGCCCTAGCTAGCTGTATACATTTTCCCCATCTTTCGGGCAATAAGTGAATTCCGCGACGATAGAACGATTGATCTCTTTTGAAGCAATTCATTCGTCGGTCCATTTTCGCACATCCTCGTAATTTTTGAAGTATACATCCACCAAACCGTGCTACATCGATTGGAACAAGTAATAGTCTGAAGGAACTAAGTCTGGGGAATACGCTGGGTGCGGGAGAACTTCCCACTCGAGCTGCATCAGGGTTTCCTTGACGGCTTTTGCAACGTGTGGTCGAGCGTTGTCGTGCAAAAGCATAACTTTGCGTCGATTGCTGACTACTGCTGGCCTTTTTCCAACGATACTTCATTCAGACGGTTCAATTGTAATTGATATCGATCTTCCGTGATACTTTCGTTTGGTTTGAGAGTAAACGACGCCTTGCATATCCCACTAAATGCAGAGCATTGCTTTGTGGCCATGGATACTTCGCTTTGGTGTAGATGTTGATATAGTTGGCCGGGATCCACCCATGACCTTTTGCGTTTGGAACTGTCAAAATATATCCACTTTTCATTACCAGTCACAATTCGCTACAAAAAACTTTTTTCTGTCTGGCGAGCAAAGAAATAGAGATGTTTAAGCGATTTGCAATGGCATTTTCGGTTAAATCGTGTGGTACCTATTTTCCTTCCTTTTGAATCTTTCCTATTGCATTTGGAAACAGCCATCAGAGTAACGTTTAATGCTGCAGACAATTGTTGGAGCGTTTGAGCTGAATTTTTGTCCAACAATGTTTGGAATTCGGCGTCTTCAAACGTTTTCGGTCGAGTTTTCGGTTGACCTGTGCATTGTTTATCATTCACATCATAATCATCTGCACTTTTAAATCGCTGAAACCATTCTTACCATGTTCTTTCCAATGGAGCATAATTGCCATAAGCTTCGACAAGCAATTTATGAGCTGCAGTTGCAGTTCTTTTTTCAAAGTAATGAAGCAACACCTGTCAAAAAAACAACTTATCACGTTCCATGTTTAATTAAAAAAAAAAAAAATAGCACTGTTCGCTTAAATGAATCTTTTTTCATTGAATTTTGTTGAAAAATGTCTAACCTCTAAAATGCAGCCAGTTTCAGATGTTAAAATAAATTACACCTACAACTAGCGTCATCTGAATGGACCGAAGAAACTAAGTTTAGCACTTAATATCAGGTTGCTCCTATAAAATGCACTGCAATGTTTACGAAATTGTCATTCTAATACACTTGACACAGAGCTTCTTAATACACGCTGCAGATCGGGATAACAAAGAGGAAAGAGAGAGTGTGTGAGAGAGAGAGAGAGGGGGATATTATTTTTTGTCAGATTTTTATGTCTAAAATATTTTCTTTGTACACTCGGAAATATATAACCTACTACTCCGCGTAAGATCTACGCTGAAAGTAGTAGCAGTCTCGAGAGTATATTCCCAGGCGTCGCGATTAGTTAGTTCTATCGCCTCACCGTCATCGTGATTCTTTCTCTCTTCTTGAGGCCAGCTGGCTCTCAGTGGCTCGTCGACGTTCGAATCGCGACTTCAGCATCGATACTTTGCGCTCCGTCGTGCAATCGTATTGATTGATTGCAAGATATTGCATGTACATTGAGTTCGGACTAGAACATCATTCGTTCGCGAAGACCGCGGCCTTCAACTTTCGTCAAGAAATCAATCATGAGGAATCTAATCGTTTTAACCCATTTGCCCGTTTAATTATTTATTGAGAGAAACGAGACTCGACTAATGTAGACGATGTTCGTAATAATTTGTGCGGCTGCGACGCATCGTTCGTCACATCGAAATGCATATGGAGTTAGTTTCGTTCGCGCGATATACCAATGGTATTCTCATTGCTGATGCAATTAAGAGCGCAATTTAATTAGACCGCAACTTGGGCGGCAACGGAGCGGAACGGGTTGGATTGTTAAATTCAAAAGGTCGCGTACACGTAACGCGATGAAGATAAACGAAAGTGAAGACTGTGCTTTCATAAGTGAGTCGACATCATCACTGCTATCTTCCTCATATGCGTATTATAACTTGTGATGCAAATGTGACAGTGGTGCTTAAAATTTTTATAATATACGTATTTCTCAATCTTTTCAAGAAATGAATGGGCCATAATTTAGTTGTTTGGTTCAAAAAAATGCATTATGTATAATTAATAATTAAAAGTTGCGATCAATCCAAATTGCAAAGAAAAATTGACTTTTTTAAAATCTTGATTAAAATTCAAAAAAGACAATTTACATTTATATTGAATATGTTGATGTGCTGCTCAATAATTAGAAAAAAATGATAGTAAAGACGGATAGTTTTGGCCTACGATTTCGTAATCTCTTGTCCTTTGCGCGATGAACAGTCTGTTTAGATTTATAAAATAAACATTGTACGTGTGAACTCTTATTCGTTCGGCTTATTTTTTCGTACAAACCTCGCTGCGTATAAGACTTGTGTATTCTTATTTCTTGTAGAACATTAATGGCATTCTTATCTCGGTTGTGTTATCAATTCGTTTATGTATGTCCTGACTAAATAATAAAATTTTGTACCCTTACTTTACACGAATATATTTTAGCTCTTATCACTGACCAAGAATTATAAATACGAACGTTATGTATTGTTCTAACTTCCGGTAACATTTTAATAACATTCCGGTAACACTCGGATCACGCTGAATCGTGATAGGATTACGTGAAGTTATTACACCTCGTGACACGTATGACCACATCCTGGCCTAATGTTAACGTAACTTCAAACAGAGACATTAAAATCATGATTCACGCAATTACGCCTTTGGTACAGACTGTAAATGTTTATAACCTTCCTTAAAAAGTGGAAGGCTTATTTTATCTGTATTTTTTATTTCCATTGAAAATAGCCTTTTATAAAAATACGATAAAATAAAAACAAAACACTAAAAAAAAAGCTGGAAGTAATAGATTTGCATAAAAAAATCGTAAATTAAATAGTTTATTATTGAATGTAACTATACTTTTGAATAGTTTGCTTCACTGAAAAAAAGGTTTCATCTTACACTTGTCCTACTAGGGGAGAATGCTCGAATCGCATTTAAGTAAGTCGTTGTTTATTATTTTGAACGCCCACATTGAGGGCAAATTGCCATAATTATCTGACTTCGGTATTTCTTGGCACGGAAGCAATTAACTGTAAATATTAAACGTAAAGATAAGGTCAACTATAAGTAAAAAACAATTGATAAAATACACTGTATTTATCGATAGTTATTTTATCAATTGTTTTTTACTTATAGTTGACCTTATCTTTACCTTATCTTACGTAAAATAGAACTAATTTGATTCAGATAAATATGAAGACGGAAGTTGTTGACGTTGTTTTTTACCACAATTCATTTTAAATCCTCTAAATGACGCAGAATTAACAATGAAAACTTAAAAGTTAATAATATGTATAATTATATGATATGAAAACTCGTAAATATAAAAAACTCGTAAATGTTTTTCTTATACAATTCTTTGAGATAATGAAAAATAATTACGATAAGACAAATTATACGATTACGATAAGAAAATCAACAAGACGAAACATGAAGTATGTTTATATATATATATATATATATATATAGTAAAATTGTAATTATATATATATGTATATATAAAATTACAATTTTACTATATTCAAATATGTTAAAAATGCGTTGCGTAACATTAATATACGATACGAGTCTTCTACTCTTAATAGTGCGTTTTATGGTATTATAACGCTTTGACTTTTCAATTAATATTGTATCAGTTTAATTCTTGCTCCAATCTCAATCTCACCCTCTCAATTACAAGTGCCATATGACTTTCAAGGCTTATCTCTCAATAAATATTTCTTATACAATTAAAAATTGTTCGTTTACAGCGTGATAATAATCGTAAGGTTACAAAGATTTTTTTGCCAAAAAAGAGAATAATTAATATGTTAAATAGTCAGCGACCAAAAAAGATAAATTTGTATGAAAATTTTTCGTTCAGCATCTTGTATCTACTCCATCTCCCACCTTCGACCTGATGTCGAATGTTGCAGATAAAAATATTCGTGAAACACGTTCGTGTGTGCGGTAAAGATAATCGAGGTCACGCGGAATACAAGTTACGAAAAAACCGATAAAGATATAATTATTCGGCTTTCGAGAAAAAAATATTTAACAGGCTATCCTAAATTATATATTAAAATACAAATCCTGCAACACAAGTTGTTCATACAAAATTCTTGACTACTACAGTAGTTCATATTTCGCACAAAAATTATTTTTATCTTTGATATTCTTTTTTACATTACAATAAAAATTCTTTGTTTAGCTTTTGAAAATGTACCATATGTTGCATCAACATATTGGTCAATATGACAGATTATTTTATAAATGTAATATTTTTTTCTGGCAGGCATTAAATTTATAAAATTAATCGATTATATGTATAATATATATACATATATATATATAATATATATATAATTGTAAAATTGAATGATTAATTACATTTATGAAATAACCAAGGTCTAACTAATATGTTTTGATGCAACACGCAATACATTTTATTGCGAATTTGTGATATTAATATAAACCTTTCAAACGTTTCGAGTATTATATTTTTATAATTACATTGTTTTTTTAATATTTACATAAAAGCATTTTTTTTATTTCTAGAAAATGGTGTCGAAAGTAATGCCCAGCCTACAATTGTCAGAGCTCCCAGAGATAGGAGGAAATTCAATCAAAACGTATGTGATGTGTTTTTTATCTTCTCTCTTTATTTAGTGCGCATGTACTTATCTAAAAAGATGAGCAATTTTATAGCATACTCAATTACATAATAAGCACAAAAGATAATTTTTTATTTCTATATATGTAATACACAATTAAGTGCAATTGATACATAACTTTCTTTGTAATGTGTATTAGAATGATAAAATGAACTTTTAAAACTTTAATAAATAATGTAACGAATCAAATCTTTATTTAAATTAAAGGTTTTGTTGAGTTTAATGGTAAAATATGTATATTGTATATAGTTTTATTTTATGAAATATACGAGAGTTTTCAATTATACATCAGGAGATGAATATAAAAAAAGATAATATAAATAACCACCAAATATAAATAATTATTTAAAAGAATTTATTTTCTGAGTTATGATATATTTTAAAAAATACATATGTTTAAAGTATCTAAACTTCCTTTTAACATTGCAAATACTTTCTGTAAAATATTTTCTGTAACACGTGTATTTTTCTTACGACAGGCAAGTGATTTTACGAACATTGGAGACTGGCCTACTTTAGGAACACAAATAGAGGTGGGTATTGTTGAATTTTTCTGTTAAAAATTACTTTTATATCTTTAGTAAGTTATCTAAATTGTTATTGTAAATGAAAATGTATTATATTATTAATAATTATATATATATTATTAGTAATAGTTTGGGTTTCTATATTTATTCCATATATTTGCCATAAATAATTTTTCTTATGTCATTATTACATAATAAACTGTGCAAAATCTAGAGCTTGCAAATGATTTATTCGTACATTTGCGAGTGTAGAAATTTTGCTAGAAAAATATCAAATATTTATTGTCATCCCAGATAAAAGTTTGTATATCTGAGAACTTCATAATTTGTACACATTATTTGTATACGTTCTTTGAACTATCTGTTAATCTCTTTTACGAATTCTATTTTATTATAATACTTTTTATTTTTGTCTGTATACAATAGATAATATTTTATCTTTTAATATAGAGAAAAACAACTGTAACTCCTCTGAAGCAAAATGGTGTGTTTAATGGTGAACCAAGTACCTCTAAGACATGCAACACTGTCGAAAGCAAAGGCAAGGAGAACAAGGAACAGATTCACTATCAAGACGATAGCGATGAGCATATGGATAACAATGAAAAGAAAAGAAAAGGTGAGATAGACAATCTATCTATGCACTTGGAATTCATTACGATAATTGCATATACATAGATAATGTAACAAAGCTCTTTTAATAACTTTGTTTTGAAATGAATTGATTCTACTTGCAATGTAAATGAGAAATGTTGTTTTTAATCTACATTCAAATCTAATTATCATTTGTATAGCGAATAAACAAAAATGGGTCCCGCTTGAGATTGACCTGGCACAAAACCGTGGGACTATGCGATCACCGAGATTTCAAAATCATAAAGAAAGAAATGGTGAAGGTAATTTTATTTGTATATATTTATATTATACATACATATATTGATATTGCATGCGTGCGCGTGCGTTTATGCTTGTGTATGTATTGAAACTTAACTACAATATGTGCATATAGCGATAATAGAAACAAACGAATATAAATGTTAATTGTATTATAATAAACAGCGAACGATGGTGAACACTGGCGCGAAAGGGATTATGATAGATCAACTGGATATAACTCACGAGGACGCGGTGGAAGAAATTACAGAGGTAGAGGACGAGGCGGGCGTGGCCGTGGTGGTTTTAGACACCGATATGATCACGAGTATACAAATTATACAACGGACTGTGCACAAGTAATTTCCTTCTGATATACGCAGTTTAAATTATTTATTATCACGAGTTGCGATACATCGATAATCATGTCATCTAAGTGGAAATCTATCTGACTGTATTTTGATGACTAATAAGTGATAGTAGAACTGAAAATCCTTTGAAGTTTGTACCTATATTTGTAATTTCTACTTCTTCTTTAGACATCATATTTTCTTCTTTTTTACAGATCCATAAATATGAACATACGGATTCTGGATATATGATACCTTATATGGGAACATGCTATTTTAATAATGCAAATTATATAGATACCATCACATTAAAAGAATATATACGAAAACAAATGTAAGTTTAATCTATATTTTTTATATTAATATAATATATGTATATATGTCGTAACTTGGATAACATTTTTTTTGTACAGAGAGTATTACTTTTCTGAAGAAAATCTTGTAAAGGACTTTTTCTTACGTCGTAAAATGAATGTTCAAGGATACTTACCTCTCACTTTGATCGCGTCTTTTCAACGTGTACAAAATTTAACGGTGGATATAGATTTGGTGATAGAAGCAGTCTTGGAATCTGATAGACTGGAGCTGTTAGAATCAGAAGATGGATATAAGGTATTACAAACTTATATTTAATTAATAAAATAGCGCATGTTATTTGACGAAATCGATTATAGCACATATTTAAAAAAAAATCTAGCATGTTACATATGTGTTAGATACAAAACTTGTGCTACAGCAAATAGAAGAGGATTCGCTGACACCATCAGAGCTTATTTTAAGTTCGATGAATGGGGTTTGAATAGTAGGCCTCGTCACATTGTATTTATAATTATTTAAATCATACGTATACGATCTTTACGCACGTATATAATGAGAAATTTTTCTAATATAAATTTTTATTTTTCAGATTAGGACAAGATTCGACCCGCTAAAATGGCCTCTTTTGGACATATCTAGTAATATTGCCTTTTCAAATCGTGTGCAACAGCCTAACCTATCTCAGTCCGAAGTTATTCCTACCTCTGAAACTACATTTTGTCCTACTGCGAAGCCTTTATCTACAATGCCTGCTCCCCCAATTCCTCGTGTGTTTGAATCTTACCATTCCATTTCAACAGTAAGAAGATACAATGAATTAGAGACGGATTCCTCCTTGACAAATGAGATTCTAAATCCCGATGTACCAGAGTTTGTGCCGACCACCGAAATAATCAATGGATTTACCGCTAATTTACCGAAACAGCAATCAAACAAAGATAACAGTAATCAAACAAAGACAACAAATAATATTTACTTCGAAAAGATAAAAGAAACAATGGAGATTGCAGAAAGGTATCTTCTCTCTTCTAATAATAATTCTCCTACGAATATAAGAGAAGCCAATGAATTACCGGCCACAGTAGGTATTCCTACTTCGGACAGCTTATCAGAACGAATGAACGGAGAATCGGACTCGTCAAACGACAATGCTTGGAAAGAGGTAACTATCGTTTTATTTTTCATTGTATCAAACTACAGAAATTTGTAAAGGCGAAAATATTATGGAATTTACGGAAATAAATTATAGGTGAGAAGAAGAGTCAAGCATCTACACAAGGATAAAACAGAAGAGAGACATTCACATAAGGACAGAACAGAAGAGAAAGAGAAATCTGAAATCGTAAAAAATGCAATACGAGAAGAATTGGATTTTCAATTTGACGAGGAATTGGATTCACCGCCACCGACTGGTCGACATAATGCCTTTTCGGAATGGTTAGTTGATACTAGAATTTTAACCTTATATATGAACCATAACGATCATTTAAGTCAGCATCATATATAATAATATATATATATATATAATTTTTTTTTAATAAATCAGTTAAAAAATTAGAAAATTTTTTTTTGTTTTATATCTTTGCATTCTAAACGTTTTAAACTCAGATATTTTGTTTCTTTTATGTAACAAAATTCAAAGAAAAACAAAAATTTTTTATGTATTAAAAAAAACATAATTTTGTAATACGTTAAAAAAATAAATAAATAACTATCTAGGTAGATAAATTACACTAGATTCACACTCTTGTGGAATGATTTTTTTTTTACGAAATAGTTTAGAGATTCTTACCATCGAAAACACCCTAATTATTTTGAGGAGTAAAAATTGTCAATTTTTAACACAAAAATAAAATTGTTTTGAAAAAAAAATTCAGTGTCGGAAAATTATTTATTTTATATTACAAAAATATGAATTAATTATTCACAAAGAAATTTTATAATATCGTTTTAAAAATGTTTTAAGGAAAAAGATTCAAAGAAATCATATTCATTGGCATTTTGTATGTCATTTATGTATGTCGCTCAGGATATCCTCAAAGTTTGTTTTACTTTCCGAAGCTTTATTATAAAAATATTTTATTCGATCTTCCAATCGTTTGCAAACAGTTTCGGATTCTTCATGAGATACTCAACAGGCCTCATACAATGCAGTTGTAATCCATACATTTTGCGCTCTGATAACTCATATTCATTACTGCGAATCCAAAATAAATTGTTTGAAAAAGGCTCAATCTGATAGCCGAAACTTGTAACATGTAACAGTATACATATATCTATTAATTACAATATATTTTCTTTTGTCTTTAATCTGAATTGTTTTTATAACGTTATGTTATCAAAAAGAATTGACTCTTACATGTCTCTTTTTATTGTTTACATTTTTGATCGTAAAAGTTGTTTAATCTCGCCGGATCTCGACATGAGGTGCGTTCCACTTGACGCTCGCAACGCTCATGAGATCATTTCATCCTTGTTGTTTATTAAATGTTAAACAAGAACAAATAACGCTCGCAAGCGTTGTGAGCGCCAAGTAAAACGCACCTATAGTCACGTGTTTTTTGCTAATGCGATGTGAACTGTGTGTCTTTCATAGAGAACGCTTGCGATCTTACCTAGGATAGGGTAATCGCAGTAAACTGACGAAAACCATTACAGTCGTTCGTATATTCTCACTATATTACCTGCTTTCTATAGGTTATATATGAGGAATTCTTCAATCCTCTTCCCAATCTATTGTAATGCTACGGCAAAAATGGGCACTTCTACGAATAAAGAATAATGAATAAAGAAGTCTTATTCATAAATAAAACATAATTTTTTATTCGAATAAAATTTATGTTCGTGTATATGGGAATAATGTATTCGAATAAATGACATTCGAATAAAATTTATTTGAATAAAAAATTATTTTTTATTTGTGAATAAATTTCTCTGCAATACTGATTAAGTTGGACTTATAACTGATCATGAGTGGATATTATTTGGAATGGGGATCTTTATTTTTATACAGTGGCTCGTGAAAGACTCGTGATGGGCTCGTGTTCTAAGAACAATATAATACAAAATAGAAGAATGTGAATAACAAATAATGCCAATAACGAATAATACAGGAGTCTTTATAATTTATACAATTTGAAAGTTTATAAAAATGTAAAGCCTAAATCTGAATTGTTTTTTTATCATAGCATAGAGAGAACGAGATTAAAAAATTATTTAATCTTTTAACATGTAGATCATTATTAATATTTTATATCTCTTGATATAATTATTACAGGTCCGAAGATGACGACGATAACGAATTTTCGGATAGAGATATTGATAAAATATTAATATTTACTCAAATTAGTCCTGCATCATCTAGAATCCCAAAGCATGAGGGTCATGATAGAACAGGAGATTGGATTACAAGAGTAAAAATGACTCAAGAATTAGAACAGCTTATCAACGACGGATTATATTATTACGAAGAAGAATTATGGAGACAAAGTTTTCAAAGAGTAAAATCAGAACTTAACTATTTCTCTCGAATTTCGAAATAAATGATGAATACTAATAAATTATATTAATATGCAGCATGGCTCTTCTTCGTCCGTTGGAAGTTACAAAACTGTTAATATGGTTAGTCAGGAAGATTTTGAAAAAATGGCGCCAAAAGCTCCAAGAAAAGCAAATCCAGAAGTTCCACCACCACCACCACCTCTTTCTATGGAAGATTTAGAAGTTTCGCAGTCAGCTTCATTACAGGTAATTTAAACTTTGTGAAATAAATGAGTTATCCTAGGAAAATATTATGTATGTTATATACATTTATTGTACAGCTTCCAAGCACAAGTCTAGATAAGAAAGATCATAGACAGGAAAAGAATCGTTGGAGTGATAAAGTCTGTCTTGGAGAAGGACGAAGAAATACTGCGCTTCGTTTCTTTGCCGTTGTGAAAGATGGACCGTCTGTTGATCCGAGAACACCGCGAAAAAGGAAAACTCGTCACAGCAATAATCCTCCAGTGGAACATCATATTGGCTGGATTATGGATGTTCGAACGTATTCCGCAGGGTATGTAATATTTGCAATGCAGATCACAATTTCTCAAGATAAGAAATACTTCATTGCTAATGTGTAGAAATATCAAAAAGTGTAAATATTAAAGTTTATATAAGGAGAAATTACTAGTTTTTTTTATGAAATACATATAGCTTGTTAAGTATCTGGCATTGTAATCTTATACTTGTGTTGGTTTTTCGATTAATTTTAATGAATTTGTGTTAATTATTACTAATGATATTCTGCTTTTGTATAAATGTAAAGTATAACATGATGAATCATCTATTTATGTCTTCTTTTCCCGACTGAAGAACCTTGTAGAATAGTTTTGATCTGAATGATAACGGAAAAATGAAAACTTAACTTCACTTTACATATATATTCTAAATTTGTTCTCTCTCTATTTTACTGTTTCAGGAGTAGTGCAGGCACAAGTCCTAATGAAGGTCATCTTGCTAGTAGTTACGGAAGTGCTTCCAATATCTGCGAGCATCCGAGTCATGCTTTGTTGAAGGATAATGGATTTACTCAACAAGCATATCACAAATATCATTCGCGTTGCTTAAAAGGTATCAATATAGATATTATATTTTCTTAAGATATTAATTTGATCGGAGATTATAAAATGATGAATTTATTTGTCTTCTTTTCCCGACTGAAAAAAATGTGCAGAAATATGTTTATCTGATTATTATATATAATTAAACAATTGTATGCTTATATTAAATTAATATTTTTATTTATATATCATTCGTATCTTTTCAGAACGCAAACGATTAGGCATTGGATTGTCGCAAGAGATGAACACACTTTTCCGTTTTTGGTCGTTTTTCTTGCGAGAAAACTTCAATCGTACCATGTACGAAGAATTCAGAACTATAGCCAAAGAAGATGCCTGCGAAGGATACCGATACGGATTAGAGTGCCTTTTCAGATTTTACAGTTACGGCTTAGAAAAGAAGTTTAGACATACTTTGTATACAGATTTTGAAATGGAAACGATACAAGATTACGAAAGCGGTAGGATAAGATTTTATTATACGTATTTGTCACAAAATAAATGAACAGCACAAAATAGGTTGTTTAGCTATGTTATATCGTATGTTAGTTAAACGGTAAATTTGTGCAACAGTAAATTAAGTGTTTTACTAACTATGCCAGAAGGATATTCTTATCCTAGAATTGGGTTTTGATTAGTAATAGCACAACAAACAATTTGACATTAAATTTACATAAGTAAACATACATAAGTCTATTATGCTTACATTTTAGTAAATTATTAGAATTGCATTATATAGGAGCGTGTTGGATTCCCATCTTCAGGTGTTATGACACTCTTCTTTAACGTTCATTAAACAAAGATAGAGTAATATAATACTTGAGTAGCACTTGGGGAATCTGAACATAGCTATGTGTGAAGAATATCAAATAATTTATTGAAACGCAAGCAATCTAATAAGAAAAAATTTGTCATATGCCGCAGACTCTACATTATATTAATATAAGTTATTATATTATATTAATAACATATTAATATTAAATTAAATTATTTAAACCAATAGGACAGCTCTATGGATTGGAAAAATTTTGGGCATTTTTGAAATATTATAAGAACTCTGATCAACTTAATGTAAATCCTCAATTGCAAGAGTACCTATCAAAATTCAAGAGCATCGAAGATTTTAGGGTAGTAGAAGTAAGTATTGCAAACACACAAATTGTAATTTTTCGCGTCACAATTGACTTAAAAATAGAATTTAGAGTTTATTTCTCATTTTATATATTTGTATTATTTTTTACAGCCTCAAATACATGAGATGCTCCAAGCTGCGAGAATACGTAATAGAAGTGTTTCTGAAAGCGCTAGGGAAGATTCACTGACAAGCGAATGCCTACTTTCGGACGACTACAATACACTGCCAAACGCGCAAGAGTCGCATTTATCGCAGTTTCGAAATAGAGCTGGTTCTTTCGGCTCTAAACTGTATCATTTTCGACGACGGAATGACTCTGCATCGTCCAGCAGCCAGCGAGATCTTAGCAAGCAGCAGCCTCGAAATAGGCAGAATTCTGGTTCATCTATGAAACCTTTCGAAGCGAGTAAATCGCAAGTCACTGCCAGAGAACGAACTCAAGCCAGCTCCAAGTCCGAAGCGAGCAAATCCGTCACGATTAAGACGGACAACTCGTTCACCTCCCAAAAATGAAATTGTGCATCGGTAAGAGAAACACGCGAATTTCGAATAAATCTGTGAATTGACAGAAATTATCGAATCGCCCTCAAGATGAAATAGCAGCGATAGTATTTTCGGTAATATACATTATTGAGAATTAATATCATAAAATGAAAAATGAAAAACTATCTCTAATCTTATTTGTGTGATTTTAGAGATTATTATTGGAATATGAAGTAAATTCTTAATAATAGATTTAGAACCGTGATTTAGCGTTTAAGATTGTATTTACCGATATTTAAACCCCTCGGCGTGGTAGCGAAAGATATTTTCACTCGCTTTTCATATTGTTTGCGATATTTAACTGTGTTACAAGATAGAACCGAAGACAAAAGGATGGTGAGAATGCATGCGTGTACATGGAGCAATATAACGATTGAGATGTATATATCCTAATACTTTCAGTCACACTTTTATTTCATATTTTGATAAAATATAGTGACGACTCGAGCAAGCAAACATTATCTTACAGAAACGTGCTGTAAGATAGTATTTGTTCGAACGAGTGTTTGATGTATGCAAAAAACATGAAGCGCTACTTTTATCTAAAAGACAGCATAAAGACTAAATATATATGTAACAGATAAACGCCTAAATATTACTTTTGACTAATCTATTATGTAAATTCAGAGACTAACCATATAATTCGTAAATACATGGTTGTGTATATACACATCTATATAAATGCTATTAGATTTGCTTCGTTTCTTTTGATTATTATTGAAATTACTTAAATTTCAATCTCTACAAATATTTGTCTTTTCTTTTTTTTTTTTATTGGAAAAGACGTCCTTTTCAATTTTCTTTTTATTTTTTAGCAGAATTTTTTTTATAGAAGACAATTACATGCATTCTTTGTATATCATTGAAATATGTCAATAATATTCACTTATTCTTAAAGTGGTAGCAGTTAAGTGTTATATTCAGGATTCAGAGCTACTATTTCAAGACTAAACGTAATTGTGGCGTACTTCCATGTCTAACATAATATCTATATATTTATATTTGTATACACACGCGCGCGCGCGCGCATACCTTTATATGTGTGTATATGTATACATATATATTTTGCCATATTTATTTTTCATAAAATATAAATCACGAAACACCTGCGTGAACATAATACAGATAGAGAATAGTTTGCATTGTCAGTCCTTAAAATGTAAATTTTTTAGACTTTTCAATTCAAAGTCACATTATTTGAAATCGAGCTTTAGAAATCACTTAACGAATTCTTAATGTACTATTTGCATTAAACAAGTTTGCATATGCATATTATATTTATACATACGCTGTCTATGCAATAATTATATTACTAATGCTACATTATATTTGATGAAATGAAAGTGTTACGAAGATTGATTTATATCGTATTGATTTTGCATAATGAGAGGAATAATAAATTGAATAACTTGTAAATAGAGAATCGAAACGCACCGGCCGTTTTTATCAATTAATCAATCAAATGAATTTGTAAATTGTGTTGATGGTTGTTTTTTATTCCTTAAGTCGATAGTCGATCACTGTAGACTTCGTAAAATGCATATTCAAAGGATGATGAGACGGCTTTCGTGCGAACACAGAAAATTGTTATGTTTGTATCCTAATCCTGTCGTCCTGAACATACTAGTCACGTATCGAGCCCACGTACTATATCACACATTGTTTACAGGATTTATACAATAGTAAAATCAAGATAGGTGATACAGTTATCACGATACACAATAAGCAATAATGCTTGAGCGAAAGTGAACGATAGTAGCGTTGATTAGGAAGATGAAAGAGAAAATGCCTTCGAAAGGCAAGAAAGGCTGTAATTCTCGTCGTTGCAAGTAATTTTTATTTCTTCATTGATGAATATACATTTATACATGAAAAATCTATGCATTTGAATCATGAATATAACGTATTTAATATTACATGCAGAAACACATGATACTGAATATTTTACTCGTTCCAGCAACACGCGTAAAAATGTCTTTCAAAATATTTGAGTTGCATAATATCGACACATTAGTTCTTGAGATCGAAGAGAAAATAGGAATGGATTTTGCGTAACGTTAATCGTAACAAGCGCAAATGATTTCGATACGGATAAATGCATTCCATGCAATCTTTTGGATTTTTCCCGTCTTTCTTTGTCTTCCCATTGTTGCATCAATGAAACCTGTTTTTGCTATTTAGACAGGGCATAATCCAAAAATTAAAGTTATACGAAGACGAGATTGTGCTTCGTATCATCGATCGAGATTATAATTAACGTATCGATATATTTTATGTACAATGCTCAAATGTTGATAGTAACAAAAAGTTAAACGCTACAATATCACTTGTTAATAAACTTCTTGATTTTGCAATATAAATAATGACTAGGAAATTCATGGGACTAAATAGTAGAGAATAAAGTCTTGTGTCTTGAGAGAATAATGTTTAAATTCTTAATTAACAAAAAGAGACACATCGACACATTGCTTCTGTGAAGACACAGTGATAGCAAAAGCTGACAATGATTCTTAAATGAGGCGACAATCGAAAGTCTCTGTCTGTTCGAGAACGAATTCATCTGAGAATGAACGCGACTGTGTTCAATTTATAAGAAAAAAAAAATCGATTGTATATCTAATTACACATCTTTTCTCTTTTTCATTTTTTTAGATTCTTGATGGGAACTAGAGTCTTCAAATTCCGAAACTTTGATCTAATATATTCGTTTCTACCTTTTTTTAGACCTCTTTTCTCTGAGAAAGTCTATTCGTGATGTTTTTTTATTAAAAAAATTTTTTATCTCCTTGAACGTATTCAGCGTGATTGATGTCACATCTTCTTCTTTCTCGTTTGTATTTGTATTCGGATGTACAACGAAACTATTCACGTTAATGTTTTTCAAGTTACCACGAACAACCGAGAATGATCTACTAACGAGACGAAAGGAAACGTTTTTAAGCGAAGAGACAAAAAGAGAAGAGAATGATCATTGAACAGACAAGGGACAGTTGTTAGCACAAATAATTTCCTATCGATTTATCAGTCGCGATATAGTAATAGATATGTACAGGCGAGAGAAAATAAACTGCGTGCTCATTAATTGTACATACTTTCATAGTTCGATTTTAAGCGATTTAGATGTACCTGTAGGTTTTTAAGCGAATAACTATAGTATAAGCTATATAAGCCTTTATATAGCATTTGAATAACAAGATCTTAGATAAGTTTATACAAGCTAAATATATGATCGGCTTATATGTTATGCAGGCTTCTTTCTCGTGGCATGATTCGGCAATCGTTAAATATGGGAGGAAAATATGGAAATGGAAATACGCTCTGAAGTAAAATGTTGATATTTGATGAGAAAAGAAAACGAAGTACTCGGCGCCGATTTTTCTCACTGTAATTGCACTGTTTCATATCTAATATACGTTATCGTGCAACGTTGTTCCGCCCCCTCCTCCTTTTTTTGTAGAAAAGACAGAAATGTAACATAATGTAAATAATTTGTATCCAAAGTTGGTGAGAACCATGCTACGAGATCGAGCCCAAAATGTAAAAAAAAAGATATATTATACATAATATATATATATATTACATATATATATATATTATAAATTCTTACATTGTTACTTATATACCGCTAAAATAAATCTTAATTTTACATTTAAGGCTTACGCTAAAAAGTGGGTGGGGTTTATTGGTTGCTTAACTATAAGAAAATGTATAAAAAATATTTCATATAAAGATTATACACTAGATCGCAAGAGATGGTTATGTTTATCAATGCGGAGATGGAATACGTTTTGAGGAGGGACCGTAATATTTTCGAATCATCGTTTTGTTTTCGCTGAACTTATCTTTCCTATCTAGCTTTTCAAGATCTTTATCTTTTTAGATCTGTTACTTTAATGTTCTGTATCTTTTCTGACTTTTTCGCTCATTTGCCCGATGATTAATCACCAAGATTCTTTGAATAACATAGCTCTATAAATAGAATTATATTTATAACGTTACCATTTTGTAAAAGTGCCATTTTTATATACCTTGATACGTAGTTTTCGTTTTGTTTGGAAGAGACAGACTTTGTTAGTAAGATCCCTCCTTAAACGAACACAGGAATGCGTGATTTTATTGAAAAGCATCCTCGACGGTGTGAGAAAAGACAAGCGCAAATTTCATTACACAGACATCCGTACGTTTTACTAAATCGATCAGTTGTCAATCGCGATCCGATCTCAAGAAATAACGTTACTATCACGTAATGTGTTATAATATTTATGATATGGTAATATTATTAGTAATCATATACTATTTCTCACTTTATCTCACGTTATCCATTTGGTGCCCGTTATAACTTACAGATACAGGAAGATTGAATCGCTTCAATTTTTTTTGAATCTCACATATACAGTCATTGATCAATTATTGTTGAATCGGCGAGATCGCGTTGCGTTTGTGCAAAGTTATACAAAAATCTAGTCGCTTTAACTGATTACTGGCGGAGCCCTCCCCTCGGTATCTTTTGTGAAATTGAAAATATGATCAAATTTTTCGACGACCGTCGCCTTTTATGAAAAGCGATAGATCAATTTGTGAATCTTCTCATCCGATATATCTGAAGCTTAGCTTCCCAGACATTACATCAGAAATATGATAAATGTATCTACTAGTTAATCGACATGATCGGACAAAATATTTTAAATATTAAGCTTTTAATAATATGTACTTCTCACAATTATTCCTATTGCTCGTGGCCAAGCGTAGTGACTTCTTTCATATGTCTATGGTGCGCATACTGGTTGTACATAGTCATATGGAATGTATGTCCATTTTTACCAATGTAGTTTAATGTTAATCTTAGTTCAACTAACAAATGATGAAGTTTAACTGAGATTAAAGTTAATCTACATTGATAGGAACGAGCATTAAGTCCAGTTTTACAACTTACGGTTAATTCTTGTTTCTTTTTCTAATTCTTGAATTGGAAAGAGATGAGAAATAAGTTTAACAAACAACGGTTAAGCGTTAACTGTAAGTTGTGAAACTGGGTAACAGTTTAACGATTCCGCATGATGAAATTTAGTTGGAGAAGTGTTTTTGGTAAAGATACTCTCGGTGAGTTGTCGCTTCCTTCTAGGAGGAGATACGAGCATATGAAAATATTTTGTTTCGGGAATCAAACCCGAGATCTCTAGCATAACAGACTTAACGTTGTATGCTTTATCACGCTCACTCTCAATGTACAATTCTAAATAAATTTGTTGTTTATAAACATTTAATAAAACGTATTTATTTAGAGTCATACATATCATTAAAAGCTCGACATTGAAAATTTTTGTCATTTTGTCCAATATTTGAATCATATCCACTGATACAATTACTTTACCGACTTGCGATAGATACTAGGCAAGAACATCAGAAAGGGCGTAACTTTCTTCGGACCGCATTTCCGTTCGCGTACAATAGTGCCTTTGAAAAGAACTTGACTTCCGGAATGTTATAAAAAGTCGCATTACTTATGCATTTTCAGATAATGCACAATAAAAGAAGAAAAGAAAGAGGAAAGAGAAAAAATAATAAGCGCCGCGAATTTAAGTAGAATACGTTTAGAGGATCGCTAGGTAGAACTCTCGTAGAAAACCAGTAGATCCTTCGGGATGTTAGATGAGACCTACGAATAAAAGATAAATTTTACCAAGTCCAAGCCTTTCGTTGAAGATATATAATGCTACATATTTTTTCAAATTCCAACACGGAGCTGCCTGGATCGGCAGGAGCCTCTAAGATTCTCGGGGGTGAGGATAAGAGATACCAGCTCGACCAATCCATGTAGCTTCGCAGGATATATTGAGCGCATCGCGCATCAACTGTACATAAAACAAAAACAAAAAAGGATACATACTTATATACACATACGCTTATACACACAGAATAAATTGCTAATGAACGTCGGCTTAGGGACTCGGGGAAAAAGGGATTACAATTCGTAATCGGTATGCAAGGGCCTCAAGGGGTCCCGAGACGAGTGATATGTATTGTATGACGCGTGTAGGATGGCTTTTGTGAATGCGGGCGCGTAGTCGACAGAGTTGTAATGTTTGTGAATACATAAAATAAAACGACCAAAAAAACCGAATACTTAGTACTTCGTATCATACCTTCTCTGTCGGAAGATATCCCAGAGAATCCGATATTATAATCATTATTCGCAATAACATTGAATTTCGAAGACCACATCTTGTTTCTTTAGGATTAGATAACTCTATATATTACCATCTTTTTTATATTAACAACACGTTTGTAAAATGTTTTTCTGCTTATCCACAAGAAGTTTGTGTTACAATTTAATGTTATCTTCTGAAAAAAAGGTTTTATATTAATTTTTTATAGTGATTGTATTTACCGATGTCGATAAAATGCTATTGTGATATTTTCGAACTCACGTAATAAGAATGTATTTTTATATATGTATGGAAATTATATTTAAAATACATTATTATTGATATTATTATTAGGAAGAATTTTGCAAGATAACATTATTAAATAAAATTATCAATAATAATGAGACTCAATAATCAAAAACAATAGAAATTAAATAGATTACGAGCCTAAACTAGGATGTAAGATGTTCTTTAATATAAACAAAGGTAAATATCTATTTTAGATGATACCTTACCGATTTCAATGTCCTTTAGATATGTTGTAGGCGAGGTTGTAGGGGAGTGTCCTGAGTGATTGCCCACAAGAATTAAGTGGGGGACGATACTATAGTTTAGGAGATATAATAACTTCCATAAATGAACTGTTGCACATAAATTTCGACTTTCCACGCGAAGCGAAAGCTATCTCACACCAACAAATGGATTATAATAACTTATTTTTATCATCAATAATTAAGACTTAGAAATTCGTACAGTCGCATATTGAAACCTGTTAATAGACTGCGAGAAGTACGTTGACTGTTCACAAAATACTTGTGACTATGTGACTTTGACTTTGTTTACATTCTTAAAGAAATCAGTGCGGTATATACAAACTTCACTATTCGTATTATACCCCTTACATCAGTATTATTTTCTACATATTATATAAGTTTGATTTACTATCTCGGTCTAAACTAATCCATCCCCCACTTAATTCTTGTGGGGAATTCACTCAGGATACCCGCTCCCCTACAACATATCTTAAGGACATAGAAATCGGTGTTACCTAAAATAGATATTTACCTAAACAAATATGCAGTATATGTATAAAGCAGGTATTCTGCTCGTAATTCAAGTATTAATTTGTATATTGCATATTTATTTATATTAAAAAGTATCTTACATCCTAGCTTAGACTAGTAGCCTATTTAATTTCTATTGTTTTTATTATTAAATAATAAATCGTGTAAAAAGAAAGAAATAACATTATTAATTTATTACTTATACTACATATATAGTATAATTGAGTCTTCTACTGGCAACCAATTGTATCATATGATATACATATATGTATAATATATATGACAATAATATATTAATATACATAAAGTATTCGATAACGACATAACCGTAACAATAGCTTAAAATAGATTCTTGAGATTATTTTTAAACGAAAATTCTAATACCAAAATGTCGAGGCTTTAATAGTTTTTGAACTACAAGTACTTGAAGTTATATTGAATCATATCACTTAAAGTTCGCGCGTTTATTCAAATGTTATAACGGAAAATTCAATCGCATCTAATAGCGTTTTCTCTTAACAAGCACTATCGGCTATCAGTGCAATACTCAAAGACAGTGTAGCGTGTTTCCTTGGCTGGTGGTTGGCAAACTCATTCAACGGAAATGTGAAATAGCCGGCAAAATTAAAAAAGTAAGCATTTCGAAGACAAACGGTAAGTAAAGTAGCTCTCTTAAACGAAAAAGACTTTGATATATTATAATTATATTTTAATACGTTGCACTTGAAATATGTTTCAACAGTTACTATTCAAAAAGTATTCGTAAAATTATAAACGTTAAATTTGTAAGATAAGAAAATCTTGTGTTTATGCATAATATCTAGGGAACATCTTTACACAAGTGTCAACAGTCATTTCTAAGGTTCTTTTGCACGGCTACAGCCAATATAAAATTCCCTTATAATCTCGATATTTTGATGTTAGAATTTTTATTTCAAGATGATCTCAAGAATTTACCTTTAAGCGTGTTATGTTTTTTAGCGAACACTGTGTGTGCGTGTGCGTGTGCGTGTGTGTGTGTGTATACGCCATTTATTTATACATATACAGAGTGTCCGTCCATATAAATATCCGAGAAAATTTGCAGTCAAATCAAGTATTAAAGTAATAAATTTTGGATTCGAAGTAATTTTGAACGTGGTTTGAAATGTCAATGAAAGGTTGAAGAAGAAAACAATGTTTTTTTTCATAGAACATTTATTATGATTTTGATTGCAAAATGCTCCCTACTATACAAATATACTAAAAAATTATAGATGTCCATTTAAAAAAAACTGTTAATCTACATAACTCGAAAAGCCATGAGTAGAAAAAAATTTTTTACCTGCACATTGTAGCTGACTCGAAATCGTACAAATTCCTCTTATTAAACTTTCTTATAACTTTTAACCAGTTGCAAGATATTTGCTCGGTCATTTATGGACAAACCCTGTATAATATTTATTTTTGGTTATAATTCTATAATTTTTAATATTTTACAAAATTCTCTCTTGAAATTTTGAATTGTAACGTTTTGTGTGTGTGCGCGCACGTGTGTATGTGCGCTCGCGCGCTCAACGTTGCAAAAAGTAGACTGAAATAATAGAAGTATATATTTCTATTTTTTTTTAATTTCTCTTTTTCTTAAGAGAGAAAATTTTTTATTGAAATAATATTTAGAATATATTAGAAATAAATACATAATATTCAAACAAACAATATTTCTAATAAATAAACATTTTACTGTAATAATTAAGTAATTTTATTTGTTGAATTTGAGATCATTTTTACTCTTCTGAAAGAAGATAAATGAGAATTAAACTATGAAACAAAAAGAAATTGTTTAAAAGACTTTGCGACTCATGACTTTTAAAAATCAAAGAGTTTAATTTACAATTCTAATGTTTATATTAAAAAGAAATAAACTTTGTAGATCTAATTGTACAATTCTTGTATCGGTACAAATAATATTAAAATTGAAGAAAGAAATGGTACTATTAGTAGTAGAATTGAAGTATTATTGGCAATGGGAGTTGTATGGGACAAGCTCTGCGCTTTTTATTTCGCTTACGTCTATACTCCAGCTCTCTTACACCGGAAATACGTTTCTAAACCTATACGTACTCTTACTTCTTAAACCAAGCTTACTCCGTATATTGTAGCATATTGTAGACGATTTAAAGGCCATTCTACAATTATGTAAGTGTAGTTGTAAATGGTTATAGTTGTACAAATTAACCAATCACAGTCAAATACGAAGAAAATGTTCGACTGTGAATAGTCAATTCTTACAACTACAGCCACTTATAAGTACGTTTACGCGATTGTAGAATTGGCTTAAAACATAACATATGTTTTAAGAGACTGAACAACTGATGGGGATATGAATGACATGAAACTGATGCGAAGCAAAACCGATTCAAACTTGTTAAAAATATAATTTTAGGTCTGTTTACTGTGGCTAGACTAGTGTACACTTTTAGAACTTAAAGTGAGATAGGTATATGTTTGATATTTGTAGAAAGCGAGAAAGAGAGTTCTAGTTCAGTCTAGTGCAGGAACAGAAAACAGACCCATATGTGTATAGGCAACCATGCCGAGAAAAAATGTCGGACGCTCCACCGGTGCCGGGACTTGAACTGGTCTTGAGGAGGTCCATACTATAGCAAGCAACCATCTCGCCGGTCACCGCGGACTGCGGAGCTATACAGCCCGACCGATAGGAACTAGTTTTATACCCTATATATGATAAATTTTTATGAAAGAAACATGAATAAATCGAAGGTAAGTATCAAAAATATTTTGACAAATATTATTTAAAGTTGTATTATTTGAGTGAAATTGAAGTAATCTCGCCTTATTTCATCCTAACCTAAAAGCCATTTTAAGTTTGTTTACTTCGCATGTTCCACAATATGCTTATTATAGCTCCTACTCACTCCAATGAGACTCGTCGGAGTGAATAGGAGCTATGATAAGGTAAGAGCATGTTAGAAGGTGTTAGAATATACGATTCCAAAATTTTTTGTTATTCAGCTTCACATTGTGTTTAAAATACAAAACATTTTCTTCTTGATACCTTAAGTATTAAATTTAATTATTCAAGTAATTTAAATAACTCAATTGTGTTTCTTTGCAGAGAACTAACACTTGGTGCGTTCCATCATTTAACTGCGAGCCTGTAAACAAGTCCTCAGTAAAACATACCAATACACTGAAATTAGATAAGACTCTATTTGACAGGTCATTTACACAGAATAATTTCAAAAGGAAGAAACATGAAACTAGCTTATCGAAATTGCTTCAAGCCTGCGAGCCTCAAAGGCTGTCTGAATTGGCAATTAGTAAACAGAAACAGAATGAAATCTCTAATTGGCTTCAGTGTAAGGCATTAAAAGGACAACCTTCAATGTTGGTCCTTACCGGATCTTCTGGTTGTGGCAAAACTGCAGCCATAAAATTACTTGCTAAGGAAAATAGTTTTGATGTTATAGAGTGGATTACACCGGTCGATCAGGCTGAAGATGAAAATAGTAACTATCGCCATTTCAAATTCAAATTTCTTTGCAGTATATAACTTCATTCATAATTTTGAATTATTTTTAGAACATATAATGCGACAAGGAGACAGATTTGAAGATCATCTGATACGTGCAACACGTTATCACACAGTATTAGGTGACTGTTTGAAACAATTGCTCCTTGTTAAGGATATCCCAAATGTCTATCATGAGGATTACAAAAGCTTCTTCACCCTCTTAGAGTAAGCAATACTTTATCACTTTGTAACAAACTGTTCAATACTTTGATCAAACTATTGTGATATATTTCTTTACAAACGCCTAGAAAATATTTCCAAATAGGAAGAGAACCTGTGATATTCGTTTGCACGGAAACTGGCAATTCAAGACTGATGCATACTTTATTTCCACCTGATATAAGAACAAAGTTCGGTATTGACACCATCAAGTGAGTCGGTTATAATTTCTGAAAGTTTAAACGTTAACTCTCAGTTTTAATTGTGATTTATTCGGAATGCAGTATAAATGTAGCCACGGCTACCGCTATGAAGAATGTATTGAAACGGATATCTAATACATTAAATTCAATCGCTGGCAACATGCTATATATCTCTCAACAACACATCAACGAGATATTGTCCAACAGCATCGGCGATGTGCGCAGCGCCGTTCTAAATCTAATTTTTATTTCTCTCAAAGGTATATGCACTAATAATTAAACCAATAAGTATAAATCTGCATTGTTTCTATGATTATCAGTGCCTGAGAAACACCTGAAAAGCGAATGTGGGATACGGCAGGAAACCTTGGGTCTATTACACGGCGTCGGAAGAGTCATAAATCCTAAAAGTAATTGGATTTTACTTCTAGATTTGTCAAACTTTCACGAATTAATCGTGATTATTTAATGTTTTAGGACAATCATATGGCAATTCTTTCAAGTTTGTACATGATCCCGAAGAAATAACGGCATTTTTCCAATCACAGTCAGTGGTGTTCGTCCAATTCCTACAAGAGAATTATCTGAATACTATAAGAACTTTAGAGGAAGCCGCAGCAGCGGCTGATATATTGAGCCTGGGTGATGTCCTAAATTCTGAATGGCGTGTAAGTTTGGTTAAAACATCACTTTTGTTGTGTAAAATTACTGTGATTATTATTATTATTACATTTCATAATACAACAGGATCGGAATTTAAGTAAAGTTGCATTATCGTACTGCATCCGTGGTTTGATGCTGACGAATGAGAAACCTGTAACTAGCTGGAATCCAGTGAGAAAACCGCGGAATGATTATAATAACATGCAAGTATCATAATATACAGGTATCCCATAATTCATTTGACGAATATTGTGGTAGAGCGAACCAAACTGAGACAGAAAGTATGTTTTTACCTGTACTTTTTTACAATTTTTGCAATAGTTAACGAGATATTAATGTCTAAAGATTACAGACACGCGTCCGATTACTATTGCCGAATATGTATGTACGTCCATTGATAACTCGGCGTGCGGACCATGGAGAGCGGTGATAGCATGGCAACGCACGTCAAGCGCGCTACCCGAGTCATGACATTTAGAGGCTCGCGGCGCGGAGCGTTTGTCAGGCAGACTCCATTTCCCGCGCGCCAAGCTATCGATGACGGATATTCGGAGCTTTTAGAAATTAACATCTCAAATCTCATAACGAATTCGGTCGACTTACACTACACTGAATTTAGTGTGTTGCACTAAACTGTATGAGTGCAACACTAAGCCGCG